TCATGTGGATGCAATTTCTTTTGGCAGTTATCCATGCCTTAAGCCAGTCCACTCGTATTCTGAATCTAAATGTTTGGTTTGCTGCCTGCAGCCTGAGTATAAGGGACATAATATCACATGCTTATAAAACGATTAGCTTTCTAGCAGATCCATTGGTTAGTTGATTCATACACCAATCCATTAATTCGTTGGTTTGCTCCTTCATTTTTTCCGTCCTGCCTTTCTTTATCCAGTCAATCATTCGTGGATCCGTCCGTTGATCCGCATATCGATGCTTCTGTTATCTCATCTATTTCCACAGCCCTTTACGTCCTTCGATTTGAAGTCAACGCCAAGAACCTTCTACAACTGATCTGGTCTTCTGCCAACTGGGCAACCAGGGCTGGATTTCAAGCGCAATGATCCGTTAATCAAGATATTCAAACCACCTAAATACTGGTGTCGCAAAGAGTCGTATGTCCATATCATCGCAACTGTTATCTTTTGAAACGAGGAAGGATCTGCTCACAAGTAAGAGTTTCCTGGATTTCCACGTTGCGTCTTAGAGATCCTTCAAAATAACCTCGTTTCTGCCGCTTACACTCGGGATCACACTCTTCGGATCAGTTCTAAACACTAATGATCACATGTGACCAAAACATATGGCTGGTACTATTTCTTAGTTCCATCTTTCTCATCACAGACAGTCTACCCACTGCATGAAAACACCCTCTTTACTGATTACTGTATCTGTTTTCACGTGCTGTCCATGATTACCTGTTAGTGTCGCGATTTCTCGTACTGGAAATTTTCTTCTCACTGCAGTGTCATTCACTTGCCTGTAGAGTAACTACATGCTGTTCTCGAGAGGACAAAAGTACTCAGTTTTACTGGGTTGCTCTACGAGCTAATTGTTGAATAAATGTTTTATTTACAGAGTACTCTTTAAGGTAGCTGTGATCAGGTGATGAAGCATAGTATGAATATAGGTTGTTTTTGCACTAATACGATGAACTGTATGGCAGTACTGTGACGTTCAAATGATACGTCATTTTAACCGTAATTTTGCTAAATCGTTGCTTTCACAGAACGGAAGATTTCGAGAAGAACCCAGAATACGCGAATACGTGGAAAAAGGATGATGAAGGAGGGGTGATCAGCGATCAACCTCGCATAACGGTTGGCGATCCGAGTGCAATTGGGCCCACCGGAGGCTACATAACGAAGTGCGTTATTGATCCACGGATATCTAATTTATAATTCACATTTAAACTTTAGAATCACAAACGACGCCAGGGAGGATGAGATGGATGAAAATATCCAGCAGGTTGCCAGTATGGTGGGAAATCTCAGAAATATGGCCATCGACATGAGTACCGAAATCGGTAACCAAAATCGGCAGCTTGATCGAATCGATCAGAAGGTAATGGTGTCAGGGTGAAGGGCTTAAACGTGGAACCATTAAGAAAACACTGAACGGTATAAGATACATGGCTATAGTTTTATTTGAAAGTCAAAGATTTCTTCAGAGGTCCTTCCTCATTTTTAATTTTCATCTTGGGGATTTACTCCCAGCAAATCTTCTTTCTATCGATCTATGGAAAAACGATATCGCTCTTCACTGGATTCATAGGAATGGAGTACTTGACTAGGAAAGAGAGCATCCCAACGGATTTCAACCTCTCTACTGGTGTAATATCTGTTACAACGGCTA